GGGGGGGGGGGGCAGTGCGCCAGAGAGGGGCTGGAGCTGGGGCCTCCCACGGTGGCAGCCCCCCCCCCCGAGTCCCCCGCCCGGAATGGCTATTCCTGGTTGGGTTCCGGAGACCCTTCAAAATTCAGAAGAAAAGCCCCGAAGGGAGGCGTTATGCCTGCTTGGGCCCAGGCCAAGAGCCCTAGGAGGCCGGAAGACTGAGCCTGGGGCCTGGGGCAGGGGGAGGTGGCAGGAGATGGGACACAAGGGGTAGTCGGGAACAGGAGATCTACAGTTGCTGTGTTTCATCCTGTTTTTTTTTTTTTTTTCTTTTTCTAAAAATGTAACAATTAAAATTCCAAAAATAAAATCCCTTCCGGGACCTCCGCCCCTTGTTCCCCAGCCCCCACCTCCAAAAAGAGGCCCCGTGGGTGGGGGTGGGGGGAAAGAGGAAAAAAAGAAAAGAGAAAAATCCCCACTTTTCTGTTTTCTTTTTTCTCTGGAGGCCCAAGAGTCTTTGAGGCAGTGGAGGAGGTGGTCGTGGGGTAATGGTGGCGAAGGGAGCCGGGGAGAGCAGGAGGGTGTCGGGGCCGGGGTTCAGGTAGGGCCTCCAGCTGACCCCCACCCCCCAGGAGCTGGGAGTGGGGGGGGGTCCTCGCCGGACGTTCCTGTGCAGGCACTGCACGCCCTCTTGGCAGCCTGATGCTCTTTTTGGGCCCCCGCCTCGGCCGCCGTGGAGGGGAGGCCCGGGAGGCCCGGGGTGTCCTCTGGAGGGGGCGGGGTCCTCAAGGCGGGCGGAAGGGGGCTCTCGGCAGACAGGGCCAGGGGGCTGCTGCGGCCTACGGCATCCACGGATGCGTCTGGGGACGTGGCCTTGTCCTTGCCCGCAGCCACACTACCGGCCGAGTCTGCTTGCTGCGTGCAGCAAGGTTCCTGTACCTTCCCCTCCGTGGGCATATCCTGGCCATCGACCTCCAAGAGTTCCTCAGCTGGGGACGCATCCTGAGCCCCGGACAATCCCTGCACCGTAAATGCACCCGGGGCGGTAGACACCTCCTCCTCATCTTCCTCTTCCAGCGTCAGCTCAAACTGGAACTTATCAGGTGGGGGTGGGTGGCCTGGCCCCCTGGGCTCCTCCTCAGGTGGCGGTGAGGGGCTCTGGCGAATGGCGCTGTAGTACCAGTCTCTGTTGTCCTCCAACGTGTCCAGGATCTCCTGGGCGTCTGGGTGGACCAGGTCAGCCCACGTCTCCCACAGCGGGTGCACGATATAGTCGATGAAACCCACCTGGGAGAGAAGGGACACCGGCGTCAACAGGCGGCCGGCTGTTGCAGATGGGAGGGCCATGCTGTGGGATCTGGTAAAGTCTAAAAGGCGCTGATAGCATTTAACCTAGTAATCGTGCTCCTCCAGATCCGACCCGGAAAAACTCTTGCACAGGGAAGAAAAAAAAAAAAAATCACATATGACATGGAAACAAATACTGGAAACTTCCACCCATCTGTCAGTTAGCAATTAGTTGTAAAAAGCCGCGGGGGTGCCTGATGGCTCAGTTGCTCAAGTGACCAACTCTTGGTTTTGGCTAGGCCACGATCGTAAGGATTGTGAGTTCAAGCCCTGCATCAGGCTCTGTGCTGACAGCTCGGAGCCTGGAGCCTGCTTTGGATTCTGTGTCTCCCTCTCTCTCTGCCCCTCCCCTGCTCATGCTCTGTCTCTGTCTCAAAAATAAATAAAAACATTAAAAAAAAAAGAAGAAGAAGAAGAAGAAGAAAATCTTGATTTTTCTTGGTGGAGGCAATACTTCCCCAATATAGGTGAAAACTACATTTCCCAGCCTCCTTTGCAAAGAGAGGGTGGCAATGTGACCACATGTAGATGGAAGATCTGGGTCGGGATGGGCATAGGGGGTAGGAGTGCTGCTTCAGCTGGCAGAGACCTTTCCTCCTTACGATGTGGCCAGAATGGTTAGAGTTTCAACAGCATCCGTGACCATGAGAGGCGTCTCTAGGGACAAAGGTCCCATGCTTCGGATGATAGAAGAGCAACACTGAAATCTCCTTAGGTGCCTGACTATTTCATGGAGCCAAAGGGAGCTAAATTCTTTCTCTCGACTTTTTTTTTTTTTTAATTAAAAAAATTTTTTAATGTTTATTTTTGAGAGGGGTGGGGGAGGGGCAGAGAGCGAGGGGGACAGAGGATCTGAAGCAGGCTCTTGGCTGGCAGCACAGAGTCCGACGTGGGGCTCGAACCCGTGAACTATGAGGTCATGACCTGAGCCAAAGATGGACGCTTAACCGACTGAACCACCCAGGTGCCTCTGGACTTTTCTTACATGCGAGAGAATAAAAATGGGGTGTCTGGGTGGCTCAGTCATTAAGCATTTGAATCCAGCTCAGGTCATGACTTCACAGTTAGTGAGTTTGAGTCCCACATTGAGCAAGCAGGAGCCCCGCTTTGGGCAAAAACAGGAGCCCCAGGTGAGCCCTGCTTCTCTCTCTCTCTCTCTCCCTCCTTCTCTCTCTCTCTGCCCCTCATGGGATTCTCTCTCTCTTCTCTGCCCCTCACTCACTTGTACCCTCTCTCTCTCTAAAAAAAAAAAAGAGAGAGAGAACAAAAATGAAGCCTTATCTCGTTTGAGTCACTGTGAATTTGTAACTCCTCAACACCTAAATGGCCATCCACAGGAGAAAAACTATAGACCCCATCTGCTGTCTAGATCTGTGAGAATACTACAGAGTCGTCAAAAGGGATGAGCTAAATCTATACGCAGTAACACAGACACATCTCCAAGTCATTGTTTGGAAGAAAAGGCAAGCTGTATAAAAATGGGTACATACTGATAAAATTCATATTTTTTTAACAAAGCAAAACCCCTGAACTATTGCTATGAGGTTGCCCGTAAATGTAACTACGTAATAAAGCCTATGGAACTGGTTTTCCCGGGCGTTGGAGGATGGGGTGATCTGCATGCTCAAAGGGACATTTGGAAGTATCTAGAGACATTTTTGGTTGTTGTAATTGGAAGGGAAGGGGTGGAGGCCAAGGATGCTGCTCAAAATCCTACAAGGCACGGCCCCCGCGACAGAGAATGACCCGGGCCCAAATGTCAACAGCACCAAGGCTGGGTAACTCAGGTCTGGAAAGGCGTGCACAGTGAGCCGGGAAGAACAGGTCTTGCCAGGGAGGAGACTGGGAGTGGGGAGGGCGAGAAACTTTCACATCCACACTTTACAAACAAGACTGGGTTTCCGTACCTCTTGTCAAGTTAAACAAGCACACGATGATGCGTCATCGCATCTCATTGCAAAATCCCACCAAAAATCAAGGACAAAATCAGCAGCCAGGTTACAGGGATACCGAGAGGCTGGAGCGACATGAGGTCTGTAACCAAGAGCTGGGCAAGTATTATTATGGATGCTAAATGAGAGAGAACTGTTCCACTCAGGTCTACAAGTTTTGAATCCAGAGGCCTGGTTTTGGCTATTCTGTAGAAGGGAAAATGTTGCAAATTTCCCATCAAGGCAGAAAAGGAAAGAAACACACACACACACACACACAGAAAAACTTGACTTTGTGGAGGGGCAGGTCGGGAACTTCTGGGTCTCGGAGCTCCAGGCCAGCATGGGGTGGGGAGGCCCGCTTAACACCCGTACCTGAGACTTCTCCACCGAGGCTGTGTGCTTGTCGCACATGGGGCTGATCTCCATGCCCCGCTCACGTTCACGGTCCCCCTGCTGGAAGAACTCGGCCATAATGCGGTCGGTCCACTGGCGGTACAACTCGAGTGGCTTGGTGGGGTTGCTGAGGTCTGCACAGTGCACCATGTTCCGAAGGACCTGCGTGAGGTGGGGGACCTTCAGAGGCCATGCCCCCGTCCCAGTCTGGGACCTCACGCTTCCTTACCTCCCCCTTTATTGGGAGAGTGAGGTAGGGGGATGTGGAGAGAGATAGGGGAAATGGGGAGGGGGGAGAGGATGGCAGGGGGAGAGCAAAGAAAGAGATCGTGGGGAGAGGAGAGAAGGAGGTGTTGGCAAAGGCAGAGGAGACAGGACGGGGTGATGGAGGAAGGGAAGAAGTAAGGAGGGATGGTAGGAGATGGGAGTTGGGATGGAGAGAGGGGAGGGGAGACCAAAAAGAAAGAGACAGGAAGAGGGGCAACATGGGAGCTGCAGGCTGAGGGAGGGGGGCAAACGGGACCCAAAGGGGAGAGAGAAAAGGAGAGAGGGTCCGGTCTCCTTGTATGGTTGGGGGGGGGGGGCACCTGGATGCGGTCGGAGTAGTTGTCCAGCAGGAGGACCCCCGAGCTGGTCACCTTCTTGGTCTCCACCATGGTCTTCAGGTCTGCCAGGAGGGTCATGTGTTTGGACATGTCCGTGGCCAGCACCTGTGGGTGAGGGGCCACTGAAGCCCTGCCACGGGCTGTACTGACCCGAACTACGCCTCTAAAGCTTTCCCCTAGCACAACCTGTTCCCAGTGCCCACAAAGGACGCCTCTCGCGGGGCTTCCTGGCCTGGACTCAGACCCTGCCTCAACCCCAGTGTCAAAGGCGCCCTTTTCCGTTCTGGCCCCGCCCCTGCCCCGCCCACCATGTCGATGACCATCTTGCGCAGGCTCTGCCGCTGGCGCTTGCTGAGGTTCTGGAAGATATCGCAGTTGTCTTCCTGCAGCAGCTTGAAGCCCACGGCCAGGTGGTGGTTCTCCAGCACCGACTCATCGTTGTACATGAGCGCCAGCTCCGAATCTGCGGCCCAGGCCCAGGCAGGCGGTCAGGGGAGGGTGGGGCCGGCAGGGCCGCCTCGAGGGGTGGGGCAGCGCAGGCCCCGCCTCCAACCCGGCAGGCCCCGCCCCCGTGGGGGCCACTCACTAGTGTTGATGAGGAACTGGTTGGAGACCCCAGGGTGGTCTACGTCATGAATAGCGGCCGCGAAGAGGGCGGCAAGAATCTCCAGGTCCGTGAACACAGCCTAGGGGCAGAGAGGGGGGTGGGAGAGAGGCGGGTTAGAAAGATGGGGGATCTGAGAGACAGGGTGAGAGAGAGATGCGGGTGCCAAAGAAGACGGTCAGGAGGGATCGATGAGGACCGGGAAGGCCAGCGTCAGAGAGACACGGAGGTCAGGAGATGGGCAACGGGCAGTCAGGGAGGGACGGGGCTGGGGAGACACAGGGGCCAGGCAGTGCTCACATCTAGCGCGGGTGTGGCCAGCAGCACGTGGGTGGACTGCAGCACATCGGCCGCGTGAAGGCTGTTGTGGTAGGCCACGTCGGGGTGGTAGTGGTCCTCCAGGGTCAGCATATATGTCACCATGGTGTCCACTGGGATGCGGAATTTCTTCAGCAGGTCACGCTCCTGAGGGTAGGTATGGGGAACGGTGACTCCCGAGAGCTCTGCTCTCCGCCCGGCCCCCTTCCGCTCACCCTGCCCCACTCAGCCCGCCCTACCTGAAATATCGTGTACATGATGCAGCTGAGGGAACGGCCTCCGGCGTATTCGGATACGCAGAAGATGTTCAGACCCCACTTGTTCAGGTTCTCCAGTTCCTGGGTGAAGTAGGAGGCCAGAGGTCAGCAGCCCACAAGACCCAGGGCCCTGCCCCTACCCACGTGGGTAAGAAGTTCCTCTTAGTTGATCATCACCCCTCTCGACTCTTTCCTAACAATTCAGAGCTCTGGTCTGAAAGTAGCACTGTCATTGCCCACCGGGTGGGCTCTGTGCTCAACACACAGAGTTGACTGTCCCCGTCCGACCAGGCCAGAAAATAATAAAGCAACCACAGCGCCTGTGTACTGAGTGACTTTAAAAAAAATTTTTTTTAATGTTTTATTTATTTTTGAGAGCGAGAGACAGAGTGTGCATGGGGGAGGGGCAGAGAGAGAGGGAGACACAGAATCTGAAGCCAGCTCCAGGCTCCGAGCTGTCAGCACAGAGCCCGATGCGGGGCTCAAACCACGGACTGTAAGATCATGGCCTGAGCCGAAGTCTGACACTTAACCTCTTAACCTTAACCGAGGAGCCACCCAGGCGCCCCCTGAGTGACTATTGTCTCCCAGGCATTATGCTAAATGCTTGATCTCATTTGGTTGGTTGGAGAACCAAAGCTCAGAAGTGATGTGACCTACCCAAGCCCTTGCATCTCGCAAGTGGCAACGCTGTGGTGTGAACTCCGTTTGGCTGACCCCAAAAGCACAGTTTGGCTTCGGAGCCAAATAGCTCACCAGCACCAGGGGGAAAGGAACTCGGGCTAATTTTCCATGGCTCTCCAGAATCTGGAACGGTGCCAGCACACAGTAGGTGCTCAGTAAACGCCGGGTGACTGACTGGGCACTGGCTAGTGCTGGAGTTCAGGTTACAACAAATGTCAGCTGACTGAGCCAACAAGAGTGCACTGAGTCCGCTGTACAAACCCATGTGGGAGCCCCTTGGCGTTAGGTGTCACGGAGCTGAACCCAGGTCTGGCCTGTAGTGGATGCTGTTGGGGTTCGACCCAGATCCCCTTCACTGACCAGTGCACCTGTCCTCCTGGGTGGGTGCTGGGACTGTTGCTTACAAAGACTCACAGCTGCTCTGTTCTCCAGAAAACTGCTCTTGCCCCTATGGGAGCTACATGGAGGCGGTAATGCTGTCCACTCTGGGGACTGCCCACAGTGGGGTACAAAAGTCCCGCACTCTTGCCTCAAGGTGGGCTCAACTCTGTGGCACTGCTGACACTCCAGAGCTCCCAGTGGAGTCAGGCGGAGGCCAGATTCTGAGGCCACCCCCTTGCTTAGCTTCTTCCTCTCCTGCTTCCTTCACTCTTGCTCTCCTGAGAGTCTCATAAGCCAAGTATGCCTGGATTATCATTTCAGACTGACCCAACGCCCGGTCCTTCTCTGGGCCCCAGGAGACTCCCTCCCCTCTCTAGTCCAGGGTCTGCTGAGACCCTACTCACTTGGGCCAGGAGCTCTTCTTGGTTGGTCTTCACCCCAAAGCGGGGGATGCTAGAGTCACTCAGGCTGCTGCTATGCGTCAGCTTCTTCACCCCCGTGATCTGAGACATGGGCTGGAATTGCGGCCCAGGGGGCGGGGGCTGCTGGGAAGGTCTCTGGCGGGGAGCTGGCTGTTTTTCTCGATCCTTCATCGTGGGTGATGGAATCTCCACTTCATTCTGCTTGTCTGGAGCAGATGGAGGAGAGACAAGCATGAGACTCCCACAGAGACCCCCTCATCTGGCCCTCACTTCCCCTGGGCTCCCCACTGTGCCCTGGGAAGGCTCACGCAGGAGGGCAGACCCCTTCAGGATGTCATGCTGTTGGTTCCTTATAGGCTGGAAACCAGAGGGAAGGGAGGAATTCTTCTGGGAGGTGGTGGGCTGGAGCAGGGACCCTGGGACTGGCCCGGAGCATTGGGGTGGCCCCAGTCTGATAGCCAGGTTTGACAAGGGGGTGGCACGGGAAGTCAGGAAGCAGGTTGAGGATGCTGGAGAGAGTAGCTGCCTGTCCTGTATAGGCAGGGGAACTTCTAGGGCAGGGGAGACACCTCCATGGTGACTAAGAGTGCTGATCAGGGTGGACAGCATGGGGAAGAGGGAGGGAAGGGTAGTCTCTGGCTCCATGAGCCCCACCCCCACCCCACCCCTTTAACACCAGCCTGCCTGGGGGGCCAGCCCCAGGATCCCTTTTCCTGAGCTTTCAAGGGCTTCCAGAGCTGAACCTGGGCCACCCATTGTGACCTGGGGCCCTGCCAGTCAATAACGGGGCCTAATAGGGGTTATTTGCATGCCATGCTCCCATTGGCTGGATCTCAGAACTCTGCACGGCCACACCCCCACTGGCGGGAGTATTTGAAACTCTGAACCCTTCTCTTGGGCTTGGCGTAGGGTGGTTCTCCAGAATTTGGAAACCTTTGGTGATAAATTGAGAGGGTAAAATTATCCTGAATTTGGGGGGGGCATATCTTCAGCTTGGGCTCTTGGATAAAGAGATTAGGATGAGTTGGAGGTCCCCATGAGCTTGAGGGTTCTAATGAATTTGAGGTACTCTGTATAACTGTATTAGGTATCAAAATTCTGTGTGTGTGTGTGGGGGGTCCTACTGAATCTGAGGGTCATATCAAGTTGGGTGATTCTCCCGAATTTGGGAGACCTTTCAGCTTGGAGGGTTTTGAAACTTTGAGGGGGTCTTTTATGAGTTCTTAAGGACAGCCGTTCCCTTAAGTTTGAGAACCCTACCGAGTTTGAGCATACCTCTTGAGTTTGAGGGGTCTCCTGAATTTGTGGGGGGAAATCCAAGTTTGGATAATCTACTGAATTTGGGGAGGCCTTTCAGCCTGGAGGCATTTAAAGTTTAGAAATTCTATTTGAGTTTGTGGGGTTTTTGGGGCCTTGAGTTTGAGAGTTCCGTTGTGGTCCCACTGAGTTTGGGGGGGCTTTTCTGCTTGGAGAGATTTTTTTAATGTGGAAGTTCTATAAAAGTTGACATCCCTCTGGGTTTAGGGGCATCGTGAGCATGGGAACGCTTGAGCGTGGTAACCTTGATCTTTAGGGAATTAAGAGTCAGGGTCCCTCGGGCAAATGTGGGCAATGGGACCTGCGGTCTGGGGCAGCCCCCTCCAATTCAGGCGTGCAGCCTCTCCCCGCACATACGAGCGGTGCCTTTCACTCACCCAGGAATGTGGTGGAGATGTACTCAGAGACCTGGTTTCCTGACCTGCTCATCTCTGACAGGTGTGTGAGTTCACGGTTTAACATCCTCTTGAACTAAGGTGAAGGAGGCAAGAAGGAAGGAATGATGGGGAGACAGGGCAGCAGAGGGTGGAGGATGTCAGCCCCTCCCGAGAAACTTCTGAAGACCCCATGAGTCCTTCCAACTTCTCTGCTCAGCCAACAGAGCCCTCAGCAAGCTGCTAGAGGGGAGGGGTCAGCCCTTCCTCTCCTCCCAGGTCTGGAGGGGGGCCCCAGGCTTGGAAGTTAGGACTCAGCATACCCCTCCCTTCCTGAGGAAGGGGGGCACCCCTCCCCAGACTTCCTCTTCCTCCAGCCCAAAGGAGGAGCCAGAGGGGCACCTGTGGAAGGGAGGGGCTCCCGCTTAACAGTGAGCCAATAGGGTGTCAGGAGAATCCCGTCGCCATGGCGATGGGAGTCTCCTTAGCAACTCCCCCTCCAACCAGCTGCTGAGCTGGGGGGATGGGGGGGGGGGGGGGGGGGGCAGGCCACAGGCCCCTTAACCCTTGCCTTCCCAGAGCTACCCTGGCCCACGTCTTCCCAAATATGGAACCCACTCCCAGGGCGTCCAGGCCCCCAGCTCCCAGCCCAGTTTGGAAGGAGACAATACGGTCTCTCCTTTGCAGGAGAGAATGCAAGTTCTGGGAGAAGAGAAGGTTTTGCAGGGGCAGGGGAGCACAGTGAGCTGAGGAAACCTTGTTCGGTCATCCAGGGGAGGGGGGTTCCCATCATAGCCCCCTCTCCCCCAGTCCCAGGAGGGTGGACAGATGCACAGATGAGCAGAGGATACCCCGGACCAGGCTTGGAGGTCCCTCCTGGTCCCCCCAAGCCACCTCACACAAGTGTCTGCTGTGACATTGTGCAGGGAGGAGAAAGGGCATTGGTTCCCCGCCCCCAAGCTCCACTGAAGCACCCCCAAAGCAGAGCAGACTCCGTCCAGAGAGGCAGGAGGGACACTTGATGGGAAGGGTGAGCCCACGCAGCCCACACCAGGATGGGGCACTTACTCCTCCTAGTGCTGCGAGAGACACGTACACAAGAAGGACCCACAAAGTCACACAACCACACACAGAGTCACAGACTACCATCTTACACGGCTCTGCACAGCCACAGACACACAAATCAAGGGACACACACGATAAGGCAGTCACAGACACTTGGGGTCACATGCCCCGGGGAAAACACACAGCTCCGGGTTCACAAACACGTCCCAACATACACCACCACAACCAGAGCCATGTGATCTCAGAAAGGGCCACACCGTGACCCAGGCAAATAAGCATATGGTCAGACAGCCCCGCACCGCTGTAGACACATACACACGTGAGTACCGACACACCCAGCAAGAGACCCACATCCCCAGCCACCCGCTATCCCCACCCAGCCCTGGGCCACACACAGACACAGACAGTCACAAGGCTTCATGTCCAGGCAACACACGTGCACAGCCGCACACACCCGCCCAGACCAGGGGCTTGAGGATCCAAGGTGGGAGGGCTAGGGCCGAGTCTCCCTCCCATCCTCCACCCCGACTTCCCCTACCTGGTCCCACCAGCCCACCAGCCACGGCTTGGAGCAGGTCTCACAGAAGAAATCCACCAAGGGCATCTTGGAATCTTAGCCCCGCTCGGGGCTGCCGCACACAGAGGCTGGGCTTGGGGAGTCCCGGGGTTAACAGCCACTGTGGGTTTGGTGGGGGCGGGGGGGTTCAGGGCAGGTGGGCAGTGCAAGGGGGAGCCGCGGAGGGGCCTGGGCCGGCCCAGCGGGGCTGGGGGCTCCCTTCCCCTCCGCGCTCCCGATAGCAGCCCTGGTTACATGGTCTGCCAGCCCCTGGCCCTGATGGGCCCCCCCGCGGCAGTAGCTGGAGGTGGCCTGGGACCCCTGCCCATGGGGGGGCAGGGCGAGGGTCCCGGGAGGTGGCTTCGGAGGCTCTGGGCTCCGTGTGCGCGCCTGTGTGTGTGCGTGTGCGTGCTCACTGCAGCACTGGCAGGCTGCATGCGACGTCAGGTGGTGCCGGGGGTGGGGGGGGCGTTAAAGGGGCATCGGAATCCACGGGCCTGAGCCAGGACCCAGGTGGGGCTGCCGGGGAAAGGCAGGGAGGCACGCACATCCCCGACAGGACGCGTCCCTTCCAGGGACACACCCAGAGACAAAGACACACGCCCAGACAGTCCACACACTCACATACACCGAGATGCACCTTCTATACCAACACACGCACTAACACACACCACACAGTCACAACTCCGAAGTCCAGCCCTTTCGCAGGTATACAGCTGAGTACACGGAGATAGGAACGCCTTCAGGAACAGCCCTCCCAAGAACACAGACTCACACCCAGACACGGAGACACACACCTGGGGACACACACCCAGATATGCTGCACACACTCCACACACCCACGGGCACACTTTCAGACAAACACAAATACCATGTGGCCTTGGACACAAACATACCCTGAGAAACCCATAAACAAATGCTCGCATCATACCCACAACCACACACACACATCATTTGCAGGAACACAACGGCAAACCTACATTTAGAGACAGTCACATTCTCAGAGGCTCGGCACACTCTCAGAGACACAATCACCCTCAGACGGGAATGTTCCCAGACAAACCTCCACCCACAGGTATGTGCACCACCCCCAACGCAGACACCTCCACCTGTATACTCATTTCCTGATAGGCATCTTCCCACGCGGGCTACCACCGTGCCGCACAACTCCAGGAAACATCATTCATGCCGCCTGTTTTCCTGGATGGTGTCCTCTGGAGTTGTGCAGTACACAGACCGCACAACTGTACATGGAAGCCTTGCACCCTCTCCTGCAGCCCTGCAAGTGCATGCATGTGTCTGTGCACACACGTGGAGTCACAGACACATGGAGATACACACTCAGATTCATACCTAGACCAACTCACACTTGTATACATACATACACCTCTGGCACAGCCCCCACACACTTACAATCTGGTATAACCGCTTGTGTGCACCCATACATCCTCCATACAGACACATCTGCACATTACTCGTGATGTACCCTCTTGGAACATCCCCTCACACCCCGTCTTGTGCTGCAAATGTGTAGCCAACAAATTGACAGCTACACAGACCCACAGTCACACACACACACACACACACACACACACACACACACACACCTGTAGACTATACAAGCATTGGACAACCCCCTCAAGAGAGATGGCAGCCTGCATCAGATGTACAACCAGGCACATATGCCCCCACGCACTAGGCTTCCCCCACCCCTGGGGGAAGTCAGAATCTGCTAGAACACGCAGCCCTAGGGTTGGCCCTGCTTAGGAATGGGCGCCCCCCCCCCAGGGCCCCCCCCCCCTCCCGCTTCACACATTGGCCCCGCCCCAAATGTGTCCTCCCCCTCAGGTCCCGCCAGCAGTCAGCCCCACCCCACAGGCCCAGGAAAGGGTCCCCTCTCATTGGCCCCATCCAGATACTGGCCCCGCCCCATGGGTGGACCCGCCCGCAGATCCCACCCAGCGGCTGGCCCCCATCCTCAGGCCCCGCCCAGGGGCTAGTTCCGCCCTGCCGGCTGGGGGCCTCCTCACCTTGTGAGATGCCATCTCGCTCACTGAGCGGTAGGTCTGCATGGTCTCCAGCTGCTCCAGGCACCAGTCCAGCTCCTCCAGTGTCTCCCGGGCCAGTTGCTGACATGTCTCTTCTGGAGAAGGGGCAGCATGGGTGGTGACCCAGAGGTTCCAACCCCGAGATGATGGGGGTCCACCAAATGAGTGGGGAAAGGAGGTAAGACAGCCACCACCCCCCCCAGGTGAGGGGTCCCCCACTGGAGCAGCAAGAGGGGCCCTTTCCCACCCCTTGGGCTTTGTTACCTGACAGCGTGGCCTTACAGACGGGGGTTGGGCCGCCCAGTGGGGACCGTCTGCAAAGAAATGGGGCTCCAACATCAGCCTGTGTGCCCCCAGATTCCTGCCTCCCCTCTCTATAATGCCACCTTTCCTTTTTCTGAGCGCTCCCTGTGTCCCACGCATGCCACCATGTGCTCAGCCTGCAGCCTCTCTCAGAGCCCCCGTGAGAACCCATTTTACAGATGAGAAAACGGGCTCAAGGAAGCGAACAGGCTTGCTCAAGACCACACGGCTGATCAGCGGCAGGGTCAGGTCCTATGCCTCCAAAGTTCCTGCAACTCCCAGAGGGACTAGCAGCTCTCAGCCAAGCGCCTGCCCCCAAATAATCACTTCTATTTAGTGAGCACTTACTATGTGCTGGGCAAATGTTCTCACACTTTCCATGTATTATCTTCCAGACTCCTCACAGCAGCATCTATTGGAGGCGCTATTAAATTCCCATTTTATGGAGGGGGAACAAAGGCACCACAAGACGCTATTTGCCTGGAAAGTTGGCTTTGGGGCCGGGAGTGGCCCCAAGGCTGCGGCACCTGGCTACCCTTGGCCTCACCACCACGTGTCTGGACCCCTTGATCTTTATTTTTAAAAGTTTGTGTCTTAGCCATTCAAATTGCAATGGTTTGCTGGCTCAGAGGGAGCTGCTGCCTGAACAGAGGCTCAGAGAGGTCAAGTTCCTGCCTGAGGGCACACAGCAGAGCTAAGAGTTGAACCCAGGTGTGCCTGGCCTCATGATCATGAATGTTGGGGCCCAGCCTTGACTTACTTGTTGCTGGGAATGGGCACATTGGTCAGGAGTGAGAAGTTGCTTCGAACGCTCCGGAGACTGGCCAGCACCTGGGATGGAGGGAGAGCCAGCGGTGAGGAGAGGGAGCCACCCGGAGGGGCTGGGGCTAGGTCCCTGTCCCCAAGTGTGGGGGAAGGTTGGAGCCCCTTCCTTTCTTAGGGGAGGGGTCTTACCTGGGCGAAAGGTGTCACAATGAGGTCCTCAGCGTGCCTGCAACCAAGGACAGGGGCAGGTCAGGCGTCCTCACTGTGGGACACCCCCGGGCCTGGGTGAAAAGGGGCTGGGGTGCCAGAGAAGCAACTCTCTATGGGGGTTGGGCTGAGGGTAGGCTGGGAGGTTGGGCGGGGGGGAGCCTCCAACAGGTGAGGGGAAAGGGCGCTTACACCTCCCAAGGGTAGACACCCTACAGGGGCTGGTCTTGGAGGGAACGGTGGCCGGACAGAGGAGCTCAGGTGGGTGGGCAGGGAGGGGGTGTGCAGAGACAA